TGAGCTGGACCCGGGACTGGAGTGAGCAGAGCGGAGGGGGGGGCATACACACGGGCAGACAGACAGACACTCAGGCTTACAGAGGCAGTGTGTGTTGGGGGGGTTCTAAGCTGGACTTGGGGCTGGACCTTGAGGGGAGGACACCCAGGCCTGCAGAGGCAGTGTGTGTGTGGGGGGGGTGGGTTCTGAGCTGGACCTGGGGATGGACCTTAAGGGGAGGACACCAAGGCCTGCAGAGGCAGTGTGTGTGTGTGGGAGGGGGGGTCTGAGCTGGACCTGGGGATGGACCCTGGGCAGGGGACCCTACAGCTCTGAGATGCTTCTTCTGGTTCCTTTGTTTGTCATCTGCTTCTTGCCCACCCCCTTTCTAGAAGCTTCTCCCGGTGCCTTTTGCTTCTTTCTCTTCCTATCTGTCCTTCACTTCCTAGAACCTCCACCTCTACCTGTCCTAAAGCAGGGTGGACTCTGAGGTCCTCCTGCCTCAAGCTCTGGAATCATCTCGCAGGAGATTTCTTCTCCTACCCCCTCCCACCTCCCTCCCCTCTCTCTGCTCTCTTCCCTCCCCCCCCCTTTGTTTCCTCTCCCTCTCCTTCTCCTCTCTCCTTCCCTCCTTCTCTTTCTCTCCATTCCACCTTCTCACATTTCTTGAGACAAGTTTTCACTGAACAGCCCAGGCTGGACCACCATACCGATCCATATAGCCCAGGCTAGCCTCGAGCTTTCCATCTCTCCACTTCAGCTTCCCAAGGCTAGGAAGACAGGAACGTGCCACCCACCAGGCCCACTTCTAAGTCTTGCTTTCAGTCTTCCTCCTCTGCCAGTCAATGCCAGCCCTTCAAGAGAAAGAATACGGGTTCCCGTTTGGAGAGCCAGGATTAGTGGCCCAGTGGTAGCGTCTTATTTATCTCCCTTCATAAGGTTTCCATTTTCCTCTAGGAAACTATGGTTGTAGGAATCAGGAATGTATGTGCAAGCCTGAAGGCCTGAGTTCAAATCTCCAGCACCCATATGTTTGCTGTGTGGGGGTACTGGCCCATCTACGCCAGCACTTAGGAAGTGAAGACAGGGGATCCCTGAGGCAAGAGGCTGAGTCAGTGAGTTCTGGGCACAGTGAGGAACCCTAGATAAAAGGTTCGTAGATAAAAGGAACCCTAGAAAAAGGCACTTACTGTCAACCTCCGGCCTCCATAGGCACACATGCTACATGTACCTGTACACACACATACACACACTGGGACAAACACATGCATGTATGCATACACCACAGATACTCACATACATATGCGAAAACAACAACCAGGCTTGGGAACCCCACCCACTCCCCTAGACAGACTTGAAGACAGAGTGGGTGGTATTTTAAGGCCTTGGAAAACCCCCTAGGGGGTGTTAGTAATCTGGGGGCACCAACCACTTCAAGGCCTCCCACTGATGACCTTTGCCAACTCACTCGAGTTACAACACCGGGCCCTGAGCATCCCTGCCCATGCACTTCTCTCCCCAGAGAGCCGCGAATTTCCACTTCCTCTTCCTGCCACGTGCTTGGGCTTGCCCCGCAGAATTGCTAAGCAGCAAAGGCTGGGGTTGGCCCTAGAAAATACAACAATGTGGGGGAGGGGCTGGGAGATGGCTCAGTGGCTAAAGCATTTGCTGTACAAACTTGACGACCTGAATTCAGATTCCCAGAACCTAGGCAAAGGCAGAAAGAGAGAACCGGTCCCACGAAATTATCCTCAGACCTCCACATGTGTCACAGCACACAGGTTCCCTACCCCCAACAATCGCATAAATCAATCAGTCGATCGATTTTTTTTTTAAGTTGGGTTTTAGCAATGGGAGCTTGTAACCCCAGTGCTGGAGCAGAGGGAGAGGGGGATCCCTGAAGTTCGCTGGCCAATCAGTCTAGACAAATCAGAGACCTCCAGGGTCTGTGAGAAATCCTGTCTCGGAAGCTGAGGCGGACTGAGGCCGCAGAGCTGGCTCCGTGGGGAAGCGCACCTTCTGCTCTTGGAGAAGTTCAATTCCCAGCCTCCAAGCCTGGCTGTTTTCAGCTGCCTATAAACCCGCTTCCAGGTGATCTGACCACCTCTTCTGGTCTCTAGCGGCGTCTGCACTTGCATGCACAGCCGCACACACACAATTTAAAATAAAAATAAAATCTACATAGATAAATGTGGAGAGAAGGGAAAGATTCCCGACATAAACCTCTTGTGGCTTCCACTCTTGTGCGCGCGCACCCGGTTGCACTCACGTGTTCGTGTACTGTTATTGCGCGAGGCTCCAGATCAACCCAAACAGACACACGAAGTTACCACAAGGCAAGATTTAACCCCAGGGCAGCACAAAAGAAGGGGGAAAGTGGAGGGGGCCGATCAATCAGGGCCGCAGAACAGACTCTGGAGCTGAACCGCAACCCTGAGTGCCAGCTGAAGCAAGGTATTTAAGCACGAAAATCACAAACAGTTGTTTCCAAGTTACAGTTGCAACTGCTCTCAATCAGAAATCAAAGATTAGGGGCTTTCTTTAAGTGTTCCGTGATTGTCAACCGACGCACAGTACAAGCGTTTCAGTCCGACAACCGGTGTCGGCGTTTCAGCCCAACCAACCCGATTTATTTGTTCTTTCTGTTGTTAGGAACAGCCATAGTGTTTCTAGGGACCTAAAGAAGCACAGTGACTATTTCTACGGTTTAGGGAGGAGGTGGGTCAGCTATTGGAAAGTTCCCAGTTTCCCTAGGGCTTGGGAACCGAACTGTGTTTCACCCTACAGGTAAATAGAGTCTGAAGTCAGAACGGTAGCACTTAGGGCAGCAGCGTGCTATTGCCTGTTCCCAACAGTACATACACCGTACACACATACCTCATAAGGCATACATAGACAGAAGGTATCGTAATTGATTGTAGGCACTCTACTTGCTGCCCTGCCCACTTATCTCTTGTAGGGAACTCAAGAAATTATTTTCTCCTATCCAAAATAAGAAGGGAAATAAACATTTAACGACCACGCGTGCACACACACACATGCTAAATTACTAACTAAATGCAATAATAACTTTTTAAAGCGTATGCTGGAGAAATGGCTCAGCAGATAAGAGGGCTTGGGTTCTTCCAGAGAACCTGAGTTTAGTTTTCACTGCCTTTGATGACTCCACAGCCAGTTAGAACTCTAGGGGTTCTGATGCCACCTTGTGGCATCCCTGGGTACCTACATACAATACACTCACAACCCCTGAATGCATGCCGGGTGTTTCTGTGACTTCTCTCATGGGGGTGCTGGGTGAGAATTCTCACTGCTCCCCCCCCACACCACATACCACACACACATGTACCCCAAGTGAGTGATGGGTGTTTCTAAAAATGCTGGTGACTTGATGGCCATAGATTTGGGGTCACAGAGGTCCTTATACTCACAGAGAAGCACGAAGAGAACCAGGAATGTTCACCACGCAGGGGTGTCCCCTCAATGGAGTTGGTTTTTATATACCAAATACCTGCATTCCATCCAGAAAGCCGGGACTGGGTTTTGTTAATGAGCTGCTGACCTTTCTGCTGTCTGTGAAGGCAGACCTCACCCAACACCCCAGAACGATCATCCCAGACTTCCCTCTCTAGACTGTTACCCATCCTCAGGGGAGATGTCACATGTACTTTATGGCCTGCTGACCTCTGTGCTATCAGTCAGAGACCCCACTAGGTTCTAGGACTTTTAGCTACAGAACCTGCCCTCACGGTCACACGTACTGTGTAAAAAGAGTCTCCATGTAGTCACACCTGAAGATGCCTTGTGCACCTGGAATTGTAATGATGGTTGCCTGGAAACCTTTCCCCGAACTGTACTGGGCTTTAACTTTGCTGACAATGAATCGCCTGGCATTAGAGCCCCCAAAGTCTGATCCAGGGTGATGAGGTCGTTCTCATTTCCTTGTTCAGTTTGCTTCTCTGTTTGCTGCCTGCATGGACCGCCACCATAGAAAGGAAGCGTCTATCTCTAGAGACTCATTCACCACATGGCATGTTTAATAAAAGTGTGATGGATAGAGAAACCCTGTCTTGAAAAAAAAATAAAGTTTGATGGATGAATAAATGAATAGGTGAATGAATGTATGGGTGGATAGGTGGATGGATTGATGGGTTAGTGGGTGGGTGAGTGGGTGGGTGGTGGATGGATGGATGGGTTAGTGGGTGGGTGGATGGGTAAATGGATGGATGGGTTAGTGGGTGGATGGATGGAGGGATAAATGGATGTATGGATGACAATGGCTATGTAATGAGGGTACTGGTAGTTATCTAGCAGATTGCCAACTTCGTTTACCCACATGGACAAAGATTGAACTTCTGGGAAAAGACAGAAACACCAAACCACAGAGGGGAAAAAAGTAACCACTTTATCCCTTCATATATCAGGGGTCTTAAGGTTCAAAATCCTTAAGTGGATGCTGGCTTGGGAATTTTATAGGGTCTCAGGGTCCTCCTCTTGCCCCTAAGGGTCCTGTTTAGATACCCACCCCTGTGTTTTCCCACCACTTCTACTCCCCGTGCCTTCTGGAAACAAACCACCATCTCAGGAAGCCTGATTTTTGCCATTCTAAGCTTCCTTTAGATGGACAGATGGATGGACAGGTAGATCGATGGATGACTGGGCAGAAGGCAGGCACAGAGGGGTAACTCTCCCCACTCTGCATCTACAAAAAAAACGGAGGCTCAGAGAACCAAGTAACTTCCCCAGGATCTCACATGCTAAGCAGCAGAACTGAGCCATCTAAAACATCTGCCCTCGGCCTTGCCCCAAGCAGGATGACAGCCCTCCCCCAACACTTTCTTACTAGAATCCCAAAACATCCCTGACTCAGCTAAAGAAGGAACTGACAAAACTTCCCCTTTTTTTCAGACCATAGAATGCTCATGATTTTCGAGGAAGCCCGTGGGGGAGAGGGAGGGAGGGACCCCAGTGTGTGCATCTCCATATAAAGGCCAGGGGAGGGAAGTTGGGGTGTCCTCAGATCTTGAAGGCCCTCTTTCCTGCACCCCAGCTTTGACCTCTGAGCTGAGGCCTCTGATCTCCAGGACATGGCAGGCTCCACCACCGTCATCGCCAGCCTTCTTCTCCTGGTAGCTTGCATGGGCTACATCTTCCCTACAGGTGAGACATCTGGGCCCAGGTGGGGCTGCTGGTAGCAAAAGCTCCTAAGGGTGTTAGCACAAAGGAGGATGAGGGACCCGAGCAGCCTGGGACTGGGGGAGGCACTGAGTGGCCTGGAGTATAACCTGTTCTGTGTCTGCAGCTAAGAAAGAGCATATGGAAGACTGCATGCTGACACAAACCTCTCTCCCTCCTTTTAGACTCTGCGACCATCCCCTCTTCTTGCTGCATGTCCTTTGTTTCCAAGAAAATTCCACGACACCGAGTGGTTAGCTACCAGTTGGCCAATGGCAGCGTCTGCCCCAAGGCAGGGGTGATGTGAGTATCTAACCCAGGGACCTCCAGGGTCTCTGAGGGAGTTCAGAACTGGGCATCTTTGAAGAAGACTCTAGACCTCTCTGGATTTCAGCTTCCTCACCCATAAAACTGGGAGGAAAATAGGGGTGGGGTAGGTTAGTTGGTAGAGTGCCTGTCTAGAACCCACGAAGCCCTGTGTTCAATCCCCAGCCTCACATAACAACCAGGACATGATTCTAGATGCCGGTAATTCCAGCACTCAGAAGGCTGGGAACATCCATGAAGTACCAAAAGGCAGGCAAGGCATTGTGCATGGAGGGAAATACATGATACAGCATTATCCTAATTAATCTTTTAAAAATAATTTATTTAACTTTATTTTATGTGCATTGGTGCAAAGGTGTCATATAAGATGTCCTGGAAATGGAGTTACAGACAGTATGTGGGTGCTGGGGATTGAACCCAGATCCTCTGGAAGAACAGACAGTGCTCTTAACCACTGAGCCATCTCTCCAGCCCTATCCTAACTAATCTTAACAGTTCCATGAGGCATTACTAGAAAGCCTTCCAAGAATCCCCCAGTGAGGGGCTGGGTTATGGCTCAGTGGTAGAGTACCTTCCTAGAATCCCCCAGTGAAGGGCTGGGGTGTGGCTCAGTGGTAGAGTACCTACCTAGAATCCCCCAGTGAGGGGCTGGGGTATGGCTCAGTGGTAGAACACCTGCCTAGAATCCCCCAATGAAGGGCTGGGATGTGGCTTAGTGGTAGAGCCCCTGCCTAGAATCCCCCAGTGAGGGGCTGAGGGCGTGGCTCAATGGTTGAGTACTTTCTTAGCATGCACAAAGGCCTGGGTTTCCATTCCCAGAATGGTAAAAAACAAAAACAGTCTTATAGAAAACATAAGACTTTTTTCTTTTACTGAAAGCAGTTGAGGCTCAAGGTCACATGACCAATGAGATTTCTAGATTCCAAATAGCTTCAGAGCCACCTCTCTTTTTTGGGGGGGGGGGGAGCGTTCGAGACAGGGTTTCTCTGTACTTTGGATCCTGTCCTGGAACTCTCGCTGTAGACCAGGATGGCCTCTACTCACAGAGATCCGCCTGCCTCTGGGATTAAAGGCATGTGCCACCACTGCCAGGCCAGAGCCACCTCTTCACCTGGGTTAATAAGCATGAACTCATGACAAGCAATGGTGCACAGTGGGAAATAACATGCTAATATATTCTCCAGCTGGCATCAGATTGGTTCTGAGAGCAGGCATGGAAGGCGACATCCCAGGCTCCCCTGACAGTTATAGCATGCCCAGTAGCCATGTTTCCATGCATAGTGTGAACTGGTAACATTCGCCTTTAGAAATAGGTACGTGTGTAGTCACACACATGTGTGTGCATGTACATGTGCCGGCATCACAAGCATTCACCACCATGCCTACATTTTTCTAAAAGTGGGTTCCGAGGCTTGAACTTGGATCCTCACAGTTGCAAGGCAGACTTTTGACCAACTGAGCTCAGCTCAGTTTCTCTGCTCTAGATACTGTATCTTCTATCACACCCAGCATTATAATTCAAAAGCAATGCCTCCTCTGTCTCACAAGGAGGCCATAGGATGAGCACGGCACCCCATACTCCATGGTGGTCCTGTCCCCCAGTGGTAAAACCCAGAATGTACAGAAAGAAAACTCACCAGAGACGTCCTAGCCCCAAGGGTGAGCAGCTGAGATCCCTGGTCCCCCACACTCGCTTCCTCACAAAGGGACCTTGCCAGACCTCCAACTAATCCCTTGCTCTTCTTTCCCACAGCTTCATCACCAAGAAAGGGCAAAAGTTCTGTGCTGACCCCAAGTTGCCCTGGGTCCAGAAGTACATAAAGAACCTGGATGCCAAGAAAAAGCCACCCTCTTCGCGTGTCAAAGCCCTGGGCACCAGGTTTTCCATCCAGAGTCTCCGTGGCAATAGCACGGAGGTTTAGCTGCTTCTCCTCTGCCCCTGAACTTGGACATCGGTCCTGACTCCTTGGCAAGCTGCTTTGGGCTTGGCACACCAGCTGGGACGAGGCCTGAGTTCATTCTCCCACTCTCAGCGTTTCTTTGGGGGAATGTGTTTATTTTTATTTTTTTATTTTTTTTTTCTGTGAGAAACTGAGGGAGTTCCGAGCATGCCAGAGTTCTGGTGTTTCCTGTGCTGAACGAGAAGGTTTTAGAAGAACGGCATTCTGCATTTTCCTCTCGCGTGGCTCCAAGGCTTCATCAGAGCCCAGGTGCATAAAACCAGGGTACCTGCAGGTGTAGCTTGTTTGCAGCTGGCTTCGATGGGGTCCTGGTCTTGGGGTGGGGCTTGGGGGCTGGCTGGCTGTCCGCCTGTGGGTGAAGCTCTGTCAACAGTAGTAACCCCCAAGCAGCTTGGGGATAATCCAGACTGGTCCCACCTTCAGAATTTTGAACAAATAAAAACTGAAACTTTTAAACCTGTCAGCTTTTATAAAGGGGATGGAGGGGGGGCTGGGAATGTCACGCAGTTGGTGGGGTGCTCACCTAGCATACAAAGCACACTGGGTTTCAACCACAGCACTGCAAACCTAGGCATGCTGATGCAATGCCTGTAATCTTAGCTCCCAGGCAAGAAGATCGGAAATTCAAGGTTAGCCAGGCACGGTGGCTTAAATCTTTAATCCGTGAATTCAGGAGGCAGAGGCAGGAGGATCTCTGAATTCAAGGCCAACCTGATCTACATAGTGAGTTCCAGGACAGCTAGGGCTATATAGAGAGACCTTCCTCCAAACCTCATCCCTCCAAAAAGAAGTTCAAGAATATCCTTAGCTACATAGTGAATTTGAGGCCAGCCTGGGCTACATGGAACTTTGTCAGGGAGAGAGGAAGGAAGGAAGAAGGGGCAGGGAGGGAAGGAGGAAGGAAGGAAGGAAGGAAGGAAGGAAGGAAGGAAATGGAAGGGAAGAGAGGGGAGGGAAAGGGGAAGGCATACAGCTGAGCATAATGGACACATCTATAAGGCAAGCACTCAGGAGGCTGAGGCAGGAGGATCACGAGTTCCAGACCAGCCTGGGCTGATACACACACACATACACACACACACACACACACACACATATACACACATACAAAACCTTGGGGTCGCTCACTCTCCTTCGTTGGTGCCCAAACTCTCTTCCCCTCCCCAGAATGTAGGGAGAGTTCAGTGTTAACGGCACAGCAACTTCTCGTCCCTCAGAGCAGCAAGGAACAAGCTGTGCCACCAGGTTTTTGTTTGTTTTGAGACAGGGTTTCCCTGTGTAGCCCTGGCTGTTCTGGAACTCATTCTGTAGACCAGGCCGGCCTCAAACTCGGAGATCTGCCTGCCTCTGTATATGTGTATGATAGATACAGAGTTTTAATTTTTAAAAGTATCTACAAAATCTATAACAAAAGGTATCCAAAGGCCAGGATGCAGGTTCAGCCTAGCTAGTTTAATTCCTTTGTGAACACACAATTTCAATATGTTCCACTTGGTGGCACGGCTTGCTCCTTGCTGCTCTGAGGGACAAGACGTTGCTCTGCCGTTAACACTGGCTCTCCCAGTGGTCAGAGTGTTTGCTGAATAAGCGTGAGGACCTGTGGGTTTGAATGAAAGTGGCCCCACAGGTTCACAGGGAGTGGGACTACTAGGAGGTGTGGCCTTGCTGGAGAAATGTGTCCCTAGAGGTGGGCTTTGAGGTTTCAGAAGCTCAAGCCGGACCATGCTGCCTGCAGATCCAGAGGTAGAACTCCCAGCCACCTCTCCAGCACCATGTCTGCCTGTGCGCTGCCTTGCTTTCTGCCATGCTGAAATGGACTAAACCTCTGAGCTGTACGCCAGCCCTAATTAAACGTTTTCCTTCGTAAGAGTTGCCCTGGTCATGGAGTCTCTTGATGGCAATAGAAAGCCTGACTAAGGCGGGGCCTGAGACTAAATTCCCACATACAAATTCCAGTATCCACATAAAAACCAAGTGTGGTTGGGAGCACCTGTAGCCTCTGGTGGAGCCGAGGCAGGCTGACAATGGAACAGACGGGACCAGCTAGCTATGACCGATGAAAGGGTGAGCCTTGGTTCAGTGAAAGACCCTTTCTCAAGGGTATAAGATAAAGAAAAGAGAGGAACTCATTGATGTCTTCCTCTGGTCTCTGCATCTTCATGTCCATGTGTATGCACCCACATGCTCACGGTATGCAACGCACACTCACTCACACACACATACACACATGGGTGGAATGCAACACACACATTCATGCATGGGTGGAGTGCACACACATACACACATGAGTGGAATGCAACACATTCATGCATGGGTGGAGTGCACACACACACACACTCACATATACACATGGGTGGAGTACACACACACATGGGTGGAGTGCAACACACACACTCACACACACTCACATACACACATGGGCGGAGAATGACCGAGAAAGACACCAAATGCTGTCTAGCCTCCACACGAATGTGCTCTTGTGCACACACATGCTCACGCATGTGCACGCCCGTATATACAATAAATAAACATAAAAGCAAAGACCAAAAGAAGGCGATGCAGCTGAAGGCAGAGCTCAGTTTCCTAGGAAGAGAAGGAGCCCTCCACCCCTTCCTGAAGTGAGCTACAGTTTCTATGCCTGCCCCTGATCTGTATCAGCTGCGTAACTGGGAAAAGTGATTTTTCCAATCGTCAATAAGAAAAACGGAAGTTCCAAGCAAATAAATTGAAAAGGCAACTCTAAAAAGGAGAAGGATACGTGGCCAGAAAACACACGAAATGTTCTCATTATCCTTATTTAGTAGCCACCAGGGAACTGAAAGTCAGAGCCGCGGGTTTCCAGCTTGCTCTTATCAGAACGGCTCGCACTAGGCAAACTACGCAGGGCTGGAGGGCTGGCTCAGAGGTCGGTAGCTCTTCCTGCTCTTCCAGAGGACCCGAGCTCTGTTCCCAGTGCCCACACCTGGCAGCCCTCAGGCTTCTGTCCTCCCAGTTCCGGGCTATCTGACGTCCTTTTCTGGCTTCCACAGGCACATGCGTGGTACACAGACATACATGCAGCCAAACACCCATGCACATAAAGTAGTAAAATAAAACTTTAAAGATCACTTAAATATCCATCCATATAGAGAGGGTTTCATTCAGCTTGACTGACATGTGGAGGTCAGAGGACAGCTTGCAGAAGTTGGTTCTCTCCTAATGTGTAGGTCTCAGGGATCAAACTCAGGTCGTCAGGCCTGGCAGCAAGCCCCTTTACTTTCTGAGCCATCTCGCTAGCCCCTCAACTATAAACGAAATGATGCCGTTTTGGGGAAAATGAATTATCTTAGTTAGGGTGACTATTGCTGGGATGAAACACCATGACCAAAGACCGTTGGGGAGGAAAAGGGTCTGCTAGGCTTAAGCTTCATCATCAAAGGAAGTCAGGACAGGCACTCAAGGCAGGAACCTGGAGGCAGGAGCTGATGCAGAGGCCATGGAGGGGTGCTATTTACTGGCTTGCTCGTTATGGCTTGCTTAGCCTTCTTACTTATAGAAGAACCCAAGACCACCAGCTCAGGGATGGCACCACCCATCATGGACTGGGCCCTCCCCGTTGATCACTAATTAAGAAAATGCCTTACAGGCCAGCAGTGGTTGGGCATGCCTTTAATCCCAACACTCGGGGGCAGAGGCAGGGTTAGCTCTAAATTCAAGGCCAACCTGGTCTAGAGTGAATTCCAGGACAGCTAGGACTACACAAAGAGACACGGTCTTTAAAAAGAAAAATTAAAAAGAAAGAAAAAAAAGGAAGGAAGAGAGGGAGGGAGGGAGGGAGGGAGGAAGGGAGGGAGGGAGGGAGGGAGGGAGGAAGGAAGGAAGGAAGGAAGGAAATGTCGTATGTCTGTACCGCATCTGGAGGTATTTTCTCAGCTGAGGCTCTTTCCTGTCTGATGATTTTAGCTTCTGTCAAGTTGACATAAAACTAGCCAGTACGTGGATGGAATTGAAGATCATGAAAAACAAAACCAGCGGGACTCAGATGAGAAGTTTACGTGTTTTCTTTTATTCAAAGAAACCTATTTTTAAACATCCATATGCGTCTGTCTTAGGGTTTCTATTGCTGCAACAAAACACCATGAGCAAAAAGCAAGGGAGGGAAGAAAGGGCTTATTAGGCTCACACTTCAGCATTGCTGTTCATCCCTGAAGGAAGTCAGGACAGGAACTTAGACAGGGCAGGATCCCAGAGGCAGAGGCCATGGAGGGGTGCTGCTTACTGGCTTGTTTCCCATGGCTTACTCAGCCTGCTTTCTTACAGAAGCCAGAACCAGCAGCCCAGGGATGGCCCCACCTGGGCCCTCCCCCATTGATCACTAAATGAGAAAACGCCTTACAACTGGATTTCATGGAGGCATTTCCACAATGTGGTTCCTTCCTCTGGTGACTCTAGCTTGTGTAAAGCTGGCACACAACACCAGCCAGCACACAAATGTCATGGAAGTACAGTGTATATACACGTATGTCATGGAAATACTTAGGGCTATTTAAGGCGGGGAAGGGGATCAGGATGAGGTAAGAAAGGGTAACAGAGTGAATATGAGTCAGGTCTCTGACATTCATGTATGAAAATGTCATAAGAAACCCAGCATTTTGAACACCAATTAAAAATAAAATTAATGCCTATCAAAATCCCAGCAAAATTCTTCGAAGACCTAGAAAGAACAGTTCTCAACTTCATTTGGAAAAGCAAAAACCCAGGATAGCCAAAACAATCTTGTACAATAAAAGAATTTCTGAAGGCATCACAATCCCTGACTTCAAACTCTACTACAGAGCTACAGTACTGAAAACAGCCTGGTACTGGCATAAGAACAGACAGGAGGACCAATGGAACCGAATAAAAGATCCGGATATCAATCCACACATCTTCGAACACCTGATTTTTGATAAAGAAGCAAAAAATAGCAAATGGAAAAAAAGAAAGCATATTTAACAAGTGGTGCTGGCATAACTGGATATCAACATGTAGAAGAATGAAAATAGACCCATATCTATCACCATGCACAAAACTCAAGTCCAGATGGATCAAAGACCTCAACATAAAGCCAGCCACACTGAACCATATAGAAGAGAAAGTGGGAAGTACACTTGAATGCATTGGCACAGGGAACCACTTCCAAAATAGAACACAAGCAGCACAGACACTAAGAGAAACAATTAATAAATGGGACCTCCTGAAACGGAAAAGCTTCTGTAAAGCAAAGGACACGGTCAACAAGACAAAACAACAGCCTACAGAATGGGAAAAGATCTTCATTAACCCCACATCAGACAGAGGGCTGATCTCCAAAATATACAAAGAACTCAAGAAATTGGACACCAAAAGATCACATAAT